CCGGCCCTGCCACCATCCGGGTCTGCTATCTGCGACCTGGGGCAGCAGGCGTCCCATGTGTGAACCAACCCGGGGTGGCCAGGCGGGGCAGCAGCGATCCACTGGCCCCCCCAGGTGTCCCATGTGCGACCCGACCCAGGGTGGTGGGGCAGGACAGCATGGCTCCTCTGTCACCTCAGCTTCCTCATCACAGCTCCCTTGGGGGCCTAAGCCTTTAGTCGGACATCCTCCGAGGGCTCCCTGGCTGCCAGAAGGATGTCTGACTGCAAGTTTAAGCCTGATCCCCCGGGGAGTGGGCCTAAATCAACAGGTGAACATCCCCCAAAGGGTCCTGGACTTTAAATGTGCACAGGCTGGGCTGAGGGACCCCCACTGTTGACTGAATGGTGGAACGACTGGTCACTATGACGTGTACTGACCACCAGGGGCCAGATGCTCAATGCAGGAGCTGCCCTGTGGTGGTCAGTGTGCTCCCACAGGGGGAGCTCTGCTCAGTCACAAGCCAGGATGACGGCTGCCAGTACAGCGGTGGTGGTGGGAGCCTCTCCTGCCTCCTCAGCAGCACTACTGATGTCCGACTGCAGCTTAAGCCTGTTCTCCTCTGGCAAGTGAACATCCCCCGAGGGCTCACAGGCTTGGAGAGGGATGGATGACTGCCAGCTTAGGCCCAATCCCCTGGGGAGTGGGCCTAAACCAGCAGGTAGACATCCCCTGAGGGGTCCCAGACTGTGAGAGGGCACAGGCCGGACTGAGGAACACCCCCCCCCTCCCGCCTGATTGCACAAGTTTTTGTGCACCGGGCCTCTTGTAGAAAATAAGTGGCAAACCTCTCTCCAAAAGAAAAACCAGAACTTTGGTTTTTGGGCACACAGTGCAATATATAGATCTTGTAACACAGAAACCTACACCTATATGATCATATTAAACAAGGTCACTTAATGTAATTAAAAATAAAGTAAAAAAGAAAAACATCAAATAAGCTTTGAATGAACTTGAATTGATGAAGCAATCCCCTATTTAGTGAGAGAAATCTTCAGCTGTGAACTTCTCAACTATAGTTGGCAAATGACAGCTTAAATGGTTCATTAGCAAAATACTATTTACTAAACTTGCTAAACCTGGAAAATTAAAAATAAGTTTTGGTCACCCAAACCACCCACCTTGAGCGCCCTAAATGTATACCTGTGTATATACTTTTTGGGTAGGATAAATGATAACTCAGCTCCAGTACACTCTTCCAAAGTGGCATGTGGAATATGAGACCGAATCACTGCAGAGAGCTTTTCAACATCACACTGTGGGTCAATCTTCATGACTATGCGATATGTAGCACCTGAGAAAAATCATTTAGAAAAAATAAATCACAGACATTCCAGAAAACTGCGAACTTAAGCCAGCCAAAGGAATGACATTTAAAGTTTTAATTTTTATTTTTTATTAGTATTTTGTTAGCTTTTTTTGCCTTTTTCTTTGTTTTTCCTTTTTTTATTTGTTGCTTTTTTCTTTGTTCTCCTATTTTTGTTTGCTCCTTTATTTCCTACTTTTTTTCACATTATTTTTTCAACCACATGAGCAGCAGACATGTGAGTGGCACGCAATTGTCCAGGGAGCATCAGCCCCGTGAGCAGCCTGCCTCGAGCCTAAGAGCAGAAGCCTCATGTGGCCTGCCCCTGTCCAAGGAGCAACAGCTGTGTGAGTGGCCCGCTTCCCTGTCTGAGGAGAAGCAGCTGCATGAGCAATCTACCTACGTCTGAGGAGGGGCAGTCCTCCCACGCTGCCCCTATCCTAGGAGCAGCAGTTGCACAAACATCTTGCCCTCATCCTAGCAACAGCAGCCACACGAGCAGCTGCCCAATCTGAGGAGCAGGAGGTCTGCAAGCGGCCTGTCCCCATTCGAGGAGCAGCAGCAGCCCACCCCCGTCCGGGGAGCAGCAGCCACACGAGCAGACCACCCATGTCTGAGGAGCGGCAGCCCTGCGCAGCACTCAC